GAAGCATTTCCAGAGAATGTCTGAAAAATACTACATGCTTGGAGGAGCTAATGATGTCAACCTCAGGCATACTTTTATTGCCTCTCTTCCAGATGTACTGCAACCAGAACTTTATAGAGCTATCAATGCACTCCATAGAAATATGTCTGACATTTCTGTTGGAGAAATATATCAATTGGCATTAGCAACTGTGGATAAGCTCTGTGAACAACAGAAGTTCTTCAAAGGAATGCTGAAAAGACAGTCAAAACTCAGACATGCTTGCAAGAAACCGCATCTCAAGATAAAGTGTAAAGATGATAAAGATTGCTCTTGTTCTACCAAGAGAAAATCTCATTATCGTCGATTCAGATATCCAAAGGGTTCTTATTCTAGGAGAAGATCCAGAAAACCTTTCCTGAGATATTTCAAGAGGCACAAGCCGTACTCAAAGAAATCTAACCGATGTTATGTATGCAAGAAAAAAGGACATTTTGCAAAAAATTATCCTAACAAGACAAAAAAGGATGTGAAGATGCTGGAACACTTGCAGACTGTTCTAATGATCAATGAAGATGAAGATATAGAATCTGTGGTTGAAGAACAAGATGCTCAGGATGAAGAAACACAATATGATCTTCCTTTCTCTAAAAATAAAGAAACTGATTCTAAATCCTTATCCCAAGAAGATGATGATCCTCAAGGGTATTTATATTCCCTTGAACAGCCTGTGCATCTGTCTTCTTTCCTTGGTTCCCTGGCTTCTCAGCCAGATTACAATAAAGTCACTCCCAAGCCAAACGTCAAAATTCATAGCCTTCCAGGAAGATATGAAAAGCCAATCCCTGTTATTGCTTTTATTGATACTGGAGCATGCAAAACCATCATGAATCCTGATATCCTTCCTTCTGAAACATGGATCCCTTGTGATCAATTTTTCCTTACTGTTGATTCAAAACCGTTTAAGATTGACTGGATTACTCACAGGAAGATTGGTATTCAATTCTTTCCAGGATGTGTTCTATGGATGAAAGTTATTGGTAGTGATATCCCAGGGAAAGATATCCTTATTGGATTCGATGCTTATTATCATACTAGGAATCTTCAAGTCTTGCCTAAAGGAATTAGATATAAAAATTTCTTTAGTGCATATGCTGAAATTCCTAACCTCTTTGAAATCCAACAGGCACCATCAGGATATGAAGATATTCAAGATCATCTTCTCAAGTTTTGCGCTGATAGTCATCAACAGTTCTCCCATCCATTTCCATTATGGAAAAATCAAGAGTTTTTCATAAAACTCCCCTTCAAGAAGAATGAAGACATTAGTCCCACAAAAGCCTCTCATCCAGGAATGAATCCAGAAGATCTCAAGCTCGCTAAAGAGGAATGTGCTGCACTTCTCAAACAAGGCCTTATTGAACCAACAAAATCTAATTGGGCTTGCCAGGCATTCTATATTGAAAAAAGATCAGAAATCAAAAGAGGAAAGAAAAGGTTAGTCATTGACTATAAGCCTCTTAATATTTTCCTTCAAGATGACAAATTCCCTTTACCAAAGCCCAGTTCACTTACAGTCTATCTTAGAGATGCAAAATATTCTCCAAGTTTGATCTTAAAGTAGGATTTTGGCAATTGGGTATTCACCCAGAAGATCGATCCAAAACTGCTTTCTGTATTCCAAATGCCCAATACCAATGGACTGTTATGCCATTTGGGCTTAAGGTCGCCCCATCACTGTTCCAAAAAGCCATGACCAGAATCTTTGAACCTATGCTTGATAACCTCCTCATTTACATTGATGACCTTTTACTTTTCTCAAAAGATGAGGATTCCCATAAACTTTTATTGGCCCAGTTCGGAGAAATAATTGAAAAATATAGGATTATGTTGTCGGCAAAGAAAGGAGAAATAGGTGTCAAAAGCATAGAGTTTCTTGGAATGCATTTTGAAAATGGTCAGTATTATCCTGGACCACACATTGCAGAAGAATTGCTCAAATTCCCAGATGATAATCTGACAACAAAGCAAATCCAACAATTTCTGGGGATTATTAATTATCTTCGGGATTTCATCCCTCATGTGTCAAATCATACAAGCCAGCTGTCCAAACTTCTCAAAAAGAATCCTCCCGCGTGGGGAACAGAGCAGACCTCAGCTGTCAAGACCCTCAAAAGAATTGCCTAGCAACCGCCTCCTTTAAAGATTCCTGACAGGGGGCTACGAATCCTCCAGACTGATGCTAGTGATGATTTTTGGGGAGCTGTCTTAATTGAAGAAATAGATAGGAAGAGATTCTACATGAACATGCAAGTGGACAATTCAAAGAATCAGAGAAGCATTATCATGCTACCTACAAAGAGATCCTTGCAGTCAAAAGAGGAATCAAGAAGTTCAGCTTCCATCTCAGTCCTTATCAATTCAGAGTAGAAATGGACAATACGTCTTTTCCCAGAATGCTTAATCCCAAGGGAAAGACTTTGCTAGATAGTCAGTTACTCCGATGGAAGGGCTGGTTCTCTCGCTATAAATTCACCGTCCATCATCTCAAAGGCCACCAGAACATCATAGCAGATTTCCTCACAAGACCTCAGAAAGTTTCCCAGCCTCCAAAACTCCTGTCACTCTCTAGACATCAATCTCTTTTCATCCTAACCATCTCTGACCCAGAAATGCCTCGCAGAATGAGAGCCACCATTTTCCCTCCTAGATCCCGTCCTGAATCTCCAGCAGGTGTCCAAAACCTCACCAGAAGCACTATGTTCTACTGGCTCCACCGTGTCTTTGTAGACACCAGAATCCACCCTTACCCTCAACACTTTGATGCTGATGCCCCATACCTCACTGTTCCCATCATCAAAGGACCCATACCAGAGGAACTTTTGTGGTACATCTGGTCTGTCTCAGCCAATTATACCTGTGCCATAGCCTTCTCAGCTGTTGTCGTCCATGATCATCTGAATGACTTCAGAAATGAAAATTCTCCTCTTACCACACTCTTTGAGACGCTTGCTCCTCTACCCTACTAGAGAGGAAAACTTTGAAAAATTCTCAAGGAACATAATATCTGGGACTTACCAACTCCCAAACAAAAAAGATTTTTCTGTCGGTATACTTTTTTCAGGAACTATGGTATAAGTGCTGACCAAAGGCTCTACACGGACAACCATCTGATCCTCCAAGTCAGCACCCCCTCATGGCCAAGAAAGGAAGCGTTATTAATGGAAAAAATTGGGAAAACGTTAACTGCACTTAACCAGCCTGACAAAGGAGAAGACACTTCATGTCTTTCTCTTGGACCTTTCCCTCCAAACTCAACATCATCTAGCAACACAACACTTGAAAAATTCCAGAGAGATTTCATCATGAGTGCTGTCAGACCTCCACCGAACAGGTCACAGGTCCCTCCACAAACAAAAGCCTCTGAAGACCCTTATGACAGACACTCACAGATTCAACTCACTCAGCCTGAAAGACTCTATCTCCCTCAGCCAAGTTTTCAGTCACAACTCCCATTCCTTGCAGGCGAATCCCAGGATCCTAACCAAGATGACCTTGACCCAGACCTCGAAGACTACTACTGCACAAGGAGACACTATGACTCAGATGACCTCGATCCAGAAGGCATCATGAACCTATCTCCTAGCCATGAGCCTATCTATAAAGACTAGGAGACATCATCATCAGGAAATCTCCTTTTTGGATGCTTTGAAGATAAGGCGGGACCCGTCAGATTCCCACTTTATGTCGCCATCTACTTTTACTTTATTAAAGTAGCTTTATTAAAGTAGTTTGTCCTGTAGTCTATTCCGTCCTCTTGTAATCAGTAAAGTGAACGTCATCATTAGGTATCATTATGACAGGTCATCATGACGTCTATCCGTCATAATGAGGTGTACTATTAAGCCTTTGTCATGTAGTGGCCCCGAGCCTCTATATAAACCCCACTTTGCCATCAATTACGGGCAGAAGGAGTTGTTTTTAATTTATTAAAAAAAACAAAGAGCGTAACCCACGTGACGCTTCAATAAAATACTACCTCCAATCTTTAATTTAAAAGTTAGATAATTAATTTATGATACTAAAAAAATTAGTTAAATTAATTATTTGTAACAAATAAACATTATCTTCTATATAATATTCTTATTAATATTGTGTATCAGAATAAAAACACTTTAACATATGTAATGATTACTTTGGAAAAATAAATAAATAAATATAAGAGACAAAGTAAATTAAGATTTTATATTTAAACCCAAAATAAACCTCAACTAAATTTTTATATTTAGGACTGAAAATAGTAAAGTCCAATAAAGTCCAATAATAAAGGAATTTTTTAGTTTCCTATTTTGAAAACAATTTTTTTTTAAAAAAAAAAGGTAATTTATTTTTAATTGATTATTGAAAAAAAAAGTAATATGTTTTGAAAAAACTAAAAAAACAAAACAATCTTTATATGTTTTCTTGTTTTTGTTTTTGTGTTTTTTATTTTTGTTTTGAAAATTTAAAAAAATCTTCTTGTCTTCTCACCTATTACTCGCTAACTACCACTACTAGTGACAACTACAACCCATCAAAGTGTAGCTTTTTTATACAATTTGTTTCGAAATGTGATTTTCTTAAAATTATTTTCTAAACAATTTTTTTTCAAAACTTGTTCTAAAAAATAATTTTAGAAATTTTTTTTAAGAATAAGAAAATAAGGAAAAAAAAAATAAACAGGCCAAAAGTCTTTGGAGATGATGAATCATGCCTTTTCATCATCGAGAGCTCTACAGCAAAAATAAACAAAAGGCCAACAATTGAGCTTCTGCTTACTCTGTTACGGACGCACAAAATGCTGACCGTAGGAGACGGCGTGTAAGGTATAAAATAAGACAATTATTGAGTGCGATGTCTGACTTTGTTATTAGTTTACGCTTTTAAGAATGAATAGAGAAGCAAAGTTGTCCGATGTAACCATTTATTGGATACTACATATACACGTGTGTGAGAGCCTAAAAGCATATCCAAGGCACAAAGAGAGATGGAGATGGAAACAACGAAGGAAGAAAACAAGCTCAAAGAGCGTAAGGTCTCATGGGCAAAGCTCCGTCGAGTTGACTCTCTCAATCTGGAAGCTGGAAGAGTTTCTGAGACCCAAACCTCAACAGTACACTATTTCACTCTCTCTCTCTCTCCTAGGTTTTGCCTTTTATCTTTCTCACTTTATTGTAATTGAATCTTAATTAATTTCACACTTTATTTGTTCACAGTTTACTTGGAAAGTCACTCTAAGTTTAGCATTTCAAAGCTTGGGGATTGTGTATGGAGATGTCGACACGTCCCCACTTTATGTGTATGCCAGTACTTTCACCAAAGGGATTCAAAACATCGATGACATTCTCGGTGTCTTGTCCCTTATCATCTATACCATCATCCTCGTACCTATGCTTAAGTATGTTTTCATCGTCTTATGGGCTAACGACAATGGAAACGGTAAGATCTCTACTTATTATTGTGCTTGTATATATTCTTTCTTTCTTGGATATAAAGGCGTGGGATTGATCTGTGTACTTATTTTCTTTCTGTTTTTTTTTATGGGTTCTGAAATATGAACTTTATTTGTTTGTTTGTAGGTGGAGCATTTGCGCTCTATTCGTTGTTATGTCGCCACTTAAAGGTGGGTCTCATTCCAAATCAACAGCCAGAGGACAGGGAGCTTTCAAACTACAGACTGGAAGAACCATGCAGCCAACTTAAACGGGGGCCGAGAAAATAAAGAACAAGGTAGAAAATAGTAAGCCTGTGAGGATTTTTCTCGTACTTATAACCATTGTGGGAACTTCGATGGTGATTGGAGATGGAGTTCTTACTCCATCAATTTCAGGTATTTGAATCTCAGTCTAAATAAGTATATCTAGAACCGATTATAATTATATATGTAAGAAAATGGGCCAGTCCACCCTTGGTGGATTGGACCCAAGCCCATTATCATTTGGGGTCCTGGTGTAAATAACAAGACTTGTGGGTCTTAAAGTGCAATTTTTGCCATCTTACATAAATTTGCCAAAAGCGGGAACAGTTATGACGAGGGAGGCGATTTTCTTTTTGAAAATATGCATGGGATAAGTTAACCGCAGCATCAGTTTTTCACACACACGTTCGGTTTTCTTTTCTCGTCTTTTGCCTTTTCCAGACTCCTCCCTCCCTCTCTGCAAAAACTTTCCCTCCGGTGCATTTGCAATGTCTATCAGATCCGACTCTGTCACCGTGATCGAACCTCCGCATGGCAACCTGATTACATTGCAGACTCCAGGTATGCCCGAAAACCTTCATTGGTATCAGAGCATGTGATTTTTCTTGTTGATTCTGTGGCCTGCGTTTTCATATCAGTATTCTTTTTCTGATTATTCGGTCTGAGTAACTTGCGATTTGCTTCAATATATTATGCAAATCCTCCATTTTACTTTCAGTATGATAGTTTTTGTGTCTTATATTTATGTTTAGACATATTGGGTTGCTTCTCTGCCTCTGTGAAAATCGTTTTATACAGTATCCTTTTTCGGCCGTACGTTTTCATTTTTGGGTGTCTCGGAAATGAAGTTTTTTGGATTCAAAATTTATCCCATTGCGTAGAACTCGAAAAAACAAAGAAAATGATATAAAGTACGCTAAAAACGGACATTGGACGGCGAAGATACGGAGGAGAGAAGAAATCGGGTCCGACGGACCCGTCGGACCCGACCCGGTTGCAGAAGCCGAGTCAAGGCGACCCAGCTGGAGGTTGAAGGAGACCTCCAAAGGCCAAAACGGCGTCGTTTTGGCCCCTCCTGTAAAAAAAAAAAACAAATTTACTGGGCTGGATGTAGGATCCAGCCCAACAAAAAAAAAAGGAAGGGGTGTACTGGGCTGGAGGCAGGATCCAGCCCAGACCAAAATCATAAAAAATAAAAAAAAAATTGTTTTGTGAAGGGAACCGGTTGGGCCGAAATGGACCCAAACCCAACCGGTCCAAATACTATTAAAAAAAAAAGGGTCTGTCTTAAAAAAAAAAATTTTTTTTTTGAGCCAGCAGCGCCACGTGGCGCGTCCCGCCACGTGGCATCCCATATGGACAATTAGGGACCACCACCTGAAAGGTGGTGGCACGTAGTGGCCTCCAGGACGGCGCGTGTCACCGGCGGCGAGCTGCATGAAGGCGCGTGTAGTACACGCGCATACTAAGCGAGTGGGAAATTTTTTTCAATTTTTCGCTAATTTTTCCTTCTAGGGGCGCGTGTAGGCGTGTGGAAGGTCCGTTTGAAGTGTGGTTTGTCTCTAAAAATGCCTAAAATCAAGATCTTCATTTTGATATATAATTTGATAATTTTGGAGACAATTAAGGATCTATTTGTGAGTATTTTCAGTGTATTTTCTGGTATTTTCATGCGAAAATAAATTCCAGAATATTCAAAATAATTTAAATTATTTTGTTCTAGGTGAAAATGAAGCAAGAGGCTTCTAGTAGCATTGAAAATATCCAAGATGGTTCATTGGAATACTTATACATGGACAATGCAGTTCCAGAACATGAACCAGAGGATGAGGATCCTGAAGAGGACCCTGAAGAGGTTCCTCAAGAAATCCCGGAGGAGTTAATGGATTCTGGACCTGAGTCAGAATCTTTATTTCCCACTGAACCCCTCCGTACCGAACCTCATTTGGTCTGTAATGATTCACTAGATCTTCCGAATAAAACCGAAGTAAAGGAAGGTGAAGAGGTGGATCAACCCTGTACCCCTGCTTTAGCTATGAGAATAGCTGAAAGAGATGCAGCTAAATTGACAAACATAAAAGGCATCAATGGTGTGCTCGCTAGCTACGTCTATTACATGACCGATAAGAAGAATACCGAATTCTACCTTAGAGTCATAATGGAGTACATAAGAGCAATAAGAGTTAGAGGTGGACCTAAAGGCAAACCCATAAGAAAGTCTTACTGGATTTGGGCCATAGAGCTAGTATCCTCCTTTATGAACAAAATGCGCAAACTTAGAAGCCTAAGAAAAGCAATGCTTGATTACATTTATGTTCATATCAAATGATGTAATATTTGTCTTCGCCTTGAATTTGTGGTTTCATACATTGTAAACAGACTAAGTATGTTATTTCATTTAATGAAATTACTTGAATTATTGTTGTATGATTATTTATGAATATCATATGTATGCCTTTTATAAGTGGGAGCTTTTAGAAGATAAGACTTCTAAAGGTTACATTTTTAAAGTGCGTATATAGTATTCTTGATAGAATATAATGATAATTACTAGTATCTGTGTGATGGGAGGTACAAATGTATTCTCTTGATCATAGATCTTGTAATTTCATTATTTACTGATCGAGGATAATATAGGCACATTACATTGTATACTTCATTGTGCTATATAACTGAAATGTTCTTTGGTTCGGTTCTCTTTTAAGAGAACATAGATTAATGTGCGATAGATTTGTTATAGAACTAAGAATGGCAACCAAGAACATAATTGCTGAATTGAACAAGGGAGAAAAGCTTAACGGGGACAACTGGGACATTTGGCACCGAAAGGTCCAATATATCCTAGAGGAACAGGATGCGATAAAGCTTCTCACCACTGCTATGGTTGAACCTGAGGCTGGCAACACAAACCAGCACTGGAGAGACCAAGAGGCATATCTAACCTGGAAAAAGAAGAATAGCATAGCAAGAATCACACTTTTGAGCTCCATGGCTGATGACCTGATGTGCGAGTTTGAGTCGCACAAAACTGCACAAGCCATGTGGATAGCATTAAAGGATAAGTTTGGCGGAGTCTCTACGACCAAGCTTAGAAGGTTGACAATTAAGTTCGATACCTATAAGCTCATGCCAAACAATCCTATGAAGCAACATCTGAGAGAGATGGCCAATATGATCCGAGAACTGAAGGAAGCTGGACATAATCTGTCTGATGAGCAGCAAGTGCAGGCTGTCATCAGGTCAGTCCCTGCAAGTTGGGAGCACATGAAAGTCAACCTAACCCACAATGAAAACATCATCACTTTTAATGATGTAGCTAAGCATCTGGAGCTGGAAGATGAATGTCTGGAGGCTTACAAGAGCTCTGGACAGACCTATTTGACTGAGGATGCTGGAACTTCCCAATCTAAGCCCAATTTCAAAAAGGGCAAGAAGCCCCAAAAGAAAGGGAAGAAGGGCGGTCCTCAATTTAAAAAGGGCAAGAAACAATTCAAGAAGAAGGAAAAGAAAGGCGGGAAGAAGAAGCTGGACCTGAAGAAGGTCAAATGCTTCGCCTGCCAACAAATGGGCCATTTCGCACGTGACTGTTCTAAACAGGCTGAGAGCGAAATGGTATTAGTGAATTATGTGAATTCACATGTTTCATATGTTTCTAGTACTGTTTTTCTAACAGAACCTGTTTCTTCTTCTTGGATTATAGACTCAGGCTCTACAGACCACGTAAGCAGGGATCGGGGATCCTTCGTGGAATACCGTCAGTTGCCGTATCAAAGCAAGTGGCTTTATGTTGGGAACAATGCGAGAATCGAGGTTCGAGGCATTAGCACCTGCAAGCTTGCTTTGGGTGGTGGAAAGACCTTGATACTCCATGATGTGCTTCATGCTCCCGACATCCGACGGAATTTAATTTCTGTTATTTGCTTAGTAGACTTTGGGTTTAATGTTTATTTTCATGATAAAGTTGCAGACATTTCCTTCAATTCTGAATTTTATGGTTCAGCATTCAGATTCCAGAAATTTTTTGTTATGGATCTTGCTTTTGGTTTTAACGCTCATGATTGTTTTGCTATTTCTTCAAGCAATCCTGATATGAATATCTAGCATGCTAGACTAGGACATATTAATCAAAATAGAATGATTAAACTAGCAAAAGAAGGAATGTTGGGCGCAATCCCTAACATGGAAATGTCCTTATGTGAAAATTGTCTAGCTGGTAAGGCAACTAGAAAACCTTTCGGTAAGGGAACAAGAGCTGAAAATCCATTCTAATTAATCCATTCTGATATTTGTGGTCCAATGAGTGTGAGGGCGAGACACGGAGCTTGGTATTTTATTACCTTTATTGACGATTTTTCATGATATGGTCATGTCTATATGATCTCGCATAAGTCTGAAGCTCTTAAGTGCTTTAGATGATACATAAATGAGGTAGAGAATCAAATGGACAGTAAAATTAAAGCATTACGTACAGATCGAGGTCATGAATATTTATCTGATCAATTTAAACAGCTCTGTGAGAAAAAGGGATAATTAGACAATTAACTATCCCTGGCACTCCACAACAGAATGGAGTGGCTGAGAGGAGGAATAGAATTCTTCTAGACATGGTTAGGTCTATGATGGCTCAAGCAAACCTACCAATTTCATATTGGGGCGATGCTTTGTTAACGGCAACCTTCATACTTAACCGTGTGCCCTCAAAATCAGTCGCTTCCACACCCTATGAATTATGGACAAAATGCAAACCGGATCTAAGTGTCCTAAGACCCTGGGGGTCAGCGGCATATGTTCATGATGATTCCCACAAGCATAGGAAATTGGGTCCTAGAGGAAAGAAGTGTATCTTTATAAGGTACTCTGAACAATCTAAAGGATACGTTTTCATAGGTGAAAACGAAGATGGAACAGTGACTGAAATGGAATCAAGAGATGCCACATTCATTGAGACTGAATTTCCTAATAGAGGAGATGTTGACCGTACTGTATCTCTTTATGAGACACAGGAACAAGTCAGTGTAGAACAAATTGATAGACCAGAATCGTCTAGGTCTGTCAATCTGAGTGGGAGCCAAGAAAGGTCAACACCAAGACCTGAACAAAGAAAGAAAGATAAGCAAATAGCTCCCGTCAAAAGGAGTAACAGGGAAAGTGTTCCCAAAAGACGCTTTCAAATAGAAGACGAATCTCTCTTAATTACTCCAGAAGGGGATGATGAGCCCCGTTCTGTACGAGAAGCCTTGTCAAGTCTTGCAAAAGATGAATGGATGAAAGCTATAGAAGAAGAAATGGACTCAATGAAAAAGAACCAAGTTTGGGTGTTAGTTGATCTTCCAAAAGGGCGTAAAGCCATTAGGAACAAGTAGGTTCTCAAAATTAAAAGAAAAGTGGATGGATCAATTGACAAATACAAGGCTCGATTAGTGGCAAAGGGGTACACACAACAGGAAGGAATAGATTATGAAGATACATTCTCACCTGTTGTGCGTTTCAATTCTATTAGACTCATTCTGGCAATAGTAAACAGTTTAGATTTAGAATTACATCAGATGGATGTAAAAACCGCATTTCTGAATGGTGATCTGGATGAAAAAATCTATATGGAACAACCATTAGGTTTCATTGAAAAAGGAAAAGAAAATAAAGTTTGTAAACTTAAAAGATCCATTTATGGATTGAAACAATCATCCAGACAGTGGTATTTGAGGTTTCACAAAGCAATAACCTCATATGACTTCCAAATGATAGAGGAAGACCACTGCGTCTACATTAAGCGGTTTGAGGGTAATTTTGTCATGTTATCCTTATATGTAGATGATATACTATTAGCCAGAAATAGTCTAGATTCGGTGGTGGCTATTAAAGAATGGCTTTCATCGAATTTTGAAATGAAAGATATGGGTGAAGCAGAATACATACTTGGAGTTAAAATCCAAAGAAATCGTTCAAAATGAATCCTCTCTCTTTCACAAGAGAATTACATCAACAAGATTCTTGAGCGATTTAACATGAAAGACTGCAATCCCATGAGTACCCCTGTTGCTCTTGGAGTGGCTTTGAGTTCTGACATGTGTCCCAAAACCGAATCTGATAAAAAGAAGATGGAAAGAGTTCCATATGCCAGTGTTGTTGGTAGTCTGATGTACGCAATGATGTGTACAAGACCAGACATCTGTTATGCAGTGGGACTGGTGAGCAGATTCCAGTCTAACCCCGGTGAAAAGCATTGGAAAGCAGTGAAGAGGATCTTGAGATATTTAAAGGGCACTTCCAATTATGCACTGTGCTACGAAGGAGGTGACCTGTGTCTTGTTGGGTACTCCGATGCTGATGTAGGCGGAGATAAAGAAGAACGAAGGTCAACTTCAGGTTATACCTTCTTACTCAACAATGGCGCCATATGTTGGAGTAGCAAGAAGCAAACGTGCATTGCCTTACATTTGATGGAAGCTGAATTTGTGGCTTGCACTGCAGCAGTGCAAGACGCTTTATGGCTGAAGAGATTTATAAAACACATTGGATTTGGAAACAAGAGTACCAATCCGGTGATGATATACTGTGACAATACTGCAGCTATAGCCTATACTAAAGATCCTAAGTATCACAGCAAAACCAAGCACATTGACATCAAGTATAATTTCGTTAGAGATTACATAGCACAAAAGATTGTTACTGTACAATATATTTCAACCAAATGTATGGTAGCAGATCCTCTGACAAAGCCAATAGGCGAAAGAGTTTTTAAAGAACATGTACAAGCCCTTGGCATACATAAAGTGTAATATGAATGCTTCATTAATGAAATTATATTTCGTTATCACTTTATATGTTTGTCCGAAAGTATACAATGTCTAGTATGTCGTATAGGTTAAAAAGGTTGGCTCTCTCACACGGGCAACCGCCTTTGACACTCAGGTGGAGTGAACAAAGATGAGACATTTGTGTTCACCAGTAAAGCAGCAATGAATGCTGATATGGTAGAGAAGAAACACAAACTTTATGTCGCCTTGACTAAAGTGTAGCAAGTCAAGATGAGATCCACGTTGATAAAGCCGGATCGAAGTTTGGAATCCCACTTCCATAATACCTGTAGCCAGACAACAAACTCTTCAACGTCGACGTCATAACAATGAGCAGAGTTGAAGAATTTGGGTTTAGATACTGAGTGTGTCTGGACCTAAGTTTGTACGGTGTTAATAATAAATCTAAATCGACATACACTCTTATAGTAAAAGAGTAACACCGTAACATGTGTTTCATACCACATGTGCTGAGAGAACCGCAAAAGGGAAGCAAGTGAAAGATCCCTGCTTCATTGCTGTGTGAGTCCCAGGGAGGAATTATCCTCCTATTGGTGTCCTTTGACTTTGACAATATCATGAAGATATGTTTCAGTGACTGCTACTTTAGCATATGTCCTATGGTCATGATTGATGCGATCTAAGGTAGTACACTAAGAAAGCGACTGATTCATTTCAAAGTGATATTTGGGCGAAAGGAAGATTGACTGTAATATACACACCTATGCTGGTGTCTGTGACATGTCCCTTATGACATTTTGTGGTCGTAAGTGTGGATACTAGACATACGAGAAAGGTAATTTGAGTCAACCATTGACTCGAGAGGGATTAGATTTACCGTGAAAAAGTGTATATAAGTAAATCTGGGACATCTGAGGCATAATTTTAAAGTTCAAGCTACACAAAGGAAAGGGTGACCTGTGCTGATCCTATAAAAGGGGTTTCTAGTATAGAGACCCAAGCGAAGACGTCATGCCCACGCGGTCACGGCAAAGCACTAAGTATGAAATTGAGGGAAGGTAAAGAGACTAGATCCGCGACATCTAATCCACCAAGTGTGAGTGGGAGATGTAAGAAAATGGGCCAGTCCACCCTTGGTGGATTGGACCCAAGCCCATTATCATTTGGGGTCCTGGTGTAAATAACAAGACTTGTGGGTCTTAAAGTGCAATTTTTGCCATCTTACATAAATTTGCCAAAAGCGGGAACAGTTATGACGAGGGAGGCAGTTTTCTTTTTGAAAATATGCATGGGATAAGTTAACCGCAGCATCAGTTTTTCACACACACGTTCGGTTTTCTTTTCTCGTCTTCTGCCTTTTCCAGACTCCTCCCTCCCTCTCTGCAAAAACTTTCCCTCCGGTGCATTTGCTGTGTCTATCAGATCTGACTCCGTCACCGTGATCGGACCTCCGCGTGGCAACCTGATTACATTGCACACTCCAGGTATGCCCAAAAACCTTCAATATATATATATTTTGCTCAGTTTCTAATCCATTTGTTAACTATATGCATGCAGTTCTTTCTGCGGTAAGCAGGATCAGCAAATCCATGGGTCAAGGTAGCATACTCTCATATATGTGTGAATTAATATTTGAACATACGAATCAATTCGAGATTAGGTAATCGTATACGTAATTGAATCTTTTCAGGCGCAGTTGTGGGAATAACTATAGGGATCCTAGTGGCCCTTTTCTCTATTCAACGATTTGGGACTGATAAAGTGGGATTTTCATTCGCTCCCATTATCCTTATATGGTTTTCATTCATCGGGGGAATCGGTCTTTGCAATATATTCAAATACGACGTTGGGGTATTGTGTGCTTTCAATCCAAAGTACATATTTGATTATTTCAAGAGGAATGGTAAGCAAGGATGGATATCACTTGGAGGAGTCTCTTTATGCATTACAGGCACGTAGCTACTTTTGAATCTTTAATTATTGCTTTAACTTGGATCTCCCTTAAATTCTAATTATTGATTAGTGTTCTATACATACAAATATCAGGATCAAAAGCCATGTTTGCTGACTTGGGTCACTTTAACGTACGAGCAGTTCAAGTAAGTCCATGTTTAATCTTCATTTAACATTATATTCCCAAGGTGGGTATTTTTTAAAAAAAAATTCTAAAAGCAAAGGGAGTTCAATTTTATATCGTAGAAATTAAAAAGCTTAAATCTCAGTATGCTCAACACATCATTCTTAAAACTTGGCATACTCTGTTTTGGTTCTGTTTTCTCAAGCTGTGTTAACCCTTAGCTTTTCTCAAGGATTCTCTACTAAGAAAAACACTATTGTCCCTGAAAATTCCTTGGTGAAGCAACCAATTGAATTGACCTACATGATAAATAATAATGTTGCAGATTAGCTTCACTTGTGTCACATTCCCTACATTACTAGCTGCATATAGTGGGCAGGCAGCATATCTACGAAAGTTCCCAGAAAACGTGTCCAATACCTTCTATGATAGCATACCAGGTAAGTTTATTCATTATAAAAGGAGACAGACACAAAAACTTTTGAACTGGAAAGGATTAATCCCTGACATTTAGCCCTTCAGTTGTGAATAATAATATGCAGATCCCTTATATTGGCCAACATTTGTCGTAGCCATAGGCGCTGCCATTATAGCTAGCCAAGCAATGATTTCAGGAGCATTTTCCATCTTATCACAGGCTCTAAATCTGGGTTTTTTCCCAAGGGTGAAGGTTGTTCACACTTCTGTGAAGCACAGCGGCCAAGTCTATATTCCTGAGATCAACTACATGTTCATGGTTGCTTGTATTATTATCTGTGCGGCCTTCAAGACCACAGAAAATATTAGTCATGCATATGGTAAATATGGCTGTTCTTTTTAATAAATCTTGTTAATCTACCTATTTTGATTTGGTTGAATCATTTCATTTTAATTAACCTTTTTACATGTGATGCAGGGATTGCTGTGGTTTGTGACATGATGATCACGACCTCGCTGGTTACACTTATAATGCTAACTATTTGGAAGACAAGTCTCTGGTGGGTTACTCTCTTCCTTATGATATTTGGCTCCATAGAGGCACTCTATCTTTCATCTCAATTAACCAAGTTTCCACAAGGAGGCTTTCTTCCAATTGTATCTGCTTTCTTCTTTACCATAATCATGGGAATGTGGCATTATGTGCACAAAGAAAGATACAATTTTGAGCTTGAGAATAAGATCTCCACTGAACATGTAAATGAATTGATCAATGGTTCGAATGTGAATCGTGTGCCCGGAATCGGACTTCTATATTTTGAGCTAGCTCAGGGCATTCCTCCCATATTCCCTCACTTCATTGCCAATGTACCATCAATCCACTCTGTAGTTGTGTTTGTTTCTATAAAGTCAATTCCTCTTAGCAGAGTCACATTAGAAGAGAGGTTCCTGTTTCGCCAGGTGTAACATCCCAAATTTATTTAGGTTTTAGAGTTAGTTAGTTAATATATATATATATATATGAATTACATATATATATATGTATAATGTTTGGAACGAGTAAATTTTCCCTTATTATTCAAAAGGTATATTAAAAAAAATTAATTGAAAAAGATAAGTTTGTTATGTAGATATGGTAAAATACATATAATATTTTTAAAAAAAATAAATAAATCGGTTATATGTATATATAAACGGTTTTTACACACACACACACATATATATATATATATGTATATAAATCAAACATCTTTGAATAGGAAGAATAAATAATGATATAATAATATAAGATAGATTGGAATTCAAATTTGAATCTGTTATACGAATTTTAATAAAATATATATATAATTATATATACAAAAAAAAAAGATTTGAGTTTAATTTAAATTTAAAAAAAACTTTAAATGATTCTGGCAAATTTCATATCAGTCGGTTATCTACTTAAGATTAATGAAATTTCCATAATAATAGTAATTTCAATAATAATAGTAAGATAAAGTAATTAATTAATTAAATAAAGATTTATTAATTTTAAAAATATAATAACTTAACCCTACTTCCTACCCACTCATTCTTTATCTTTTAGCCGCCACTCAGTTTCTTCTTTAGCTTTTCCGCTACCATAGACTGGTGGTTTTCAGAAAGCGTTACTCCTGCTTCTACTCTAAACATTCTATCTTCATAAATCAAATTAGATTCAAGGTAAACGTTTCCATTCTTGTTTCTCATCTCTTTTTATATTAACTTTTTCATAATTTCTCTTTACCTCATTCCTTTCGTCCTTTCTCCTTAGTCCACCGTAGGCCTTCTTATCACCATCATCTCCAAGACATATATATTTGTTAAGGTGTGTACCTACTTTTCTTTTCCTTTTTCGTATATCTCTCCCTTGTATCATGTGTTTTTGTTTTAGATTCTGCCTCTTCGTAAGACTATGCACATATATATGCTTGATAGAAATATAAATAAATATATGCGCCTCTATATATATATATATATATATATTATCATCTTCTACCCCGTTTCGGTGTTCCTCCCCTCTAGTCATAGGTGTGTACGTTCATATATTGGTATCCACAAGTCATTTAGCAACATAGATAAAACAAATTTACCCCCTGTTAGCATTAAAAGATGGGATAATGGCTTGAGAAAAAAACACACACACCCACATATATATTAAGGACGCATAAGTGGTAGGGATCGGTGGATTTTTTTTAAATGAGTGTTCCCTTAAATCATTTATATATAAAATTATATATATTCGCATAATAGATTAAAATAAATAATGGGAAATTGTGTAAACTGAATATATGTATGAAATTTATGGTTAGTTATAAATAGGTGTGAATTTAAAAGGGTCTCTTGACAGCTTTAAAATAATATTTGAAATCAATAATATGTAAGCGATTTGTGATCCTGAAATTTAAGAAGACTTAATTAGAGGCCTGTGGCATAGGTTTAAAACTTAAATGGCTTTTAGGAAAAATCTTAGAGTAGCTTTGAGATAAACTTGAATAGCTCAAATTATAATTTGACTTGGTATTTGTATAATTTTGTAGACTCTCACCGAGAGCCTTATTGCTTGGAATTTTTGTTTCACTACTGAGGAGCAAAGGGAGTCAGGTAACTTGGGGTTTTTCTATGTGTGTGTAATCTTTATCCATCATGATTAAAATTGTATTGACTCTATCGACTTAATTGTTGCAAATAAATAGATAAGACTAAAAAGGTGAAAGAATAAAATTGTATTATCTTCTATGTTATTTGAATTCTCCTTTAAGCATGAATGTGTCTTGGATATTTTTGACGAAAAATTTATGGTAATTCATTTTCTTTCAAGCATGCTTGCATATACTGGATTTGTTATATATTCATGACATGCATAGGCAGTTGGACTTGGGAGTTTATAATATTGATATATGTGACAAATTGTGACCACGTGGTTTGCCTCCACTTAGTGCAAAGTGGTTGGCCTTTTTAGGGCCCCGTTCCTTAATACTTACCTGGCCAGGTTTGTAGAGGGGGAACGTGGGATAGTGACACCTCCTGGTTCTTTTAAGGAGGGGAGCCATAGTCTAGGCTTGGGCTCTGTATCTTTGGCCAGATACATCCTAAGTACTGGAGTAGTTTTGGTCAGTCCAGTGTGTGGGCTAGACCGTTTATAAGCCTATGGTTCTAGTCAGCGGAATAAGGTTGGATTGAGCAATAAGGGTGGAAGCATCCATTGCATATGAACATGGTATATTATTGAATTAGTTACATATTTTGCTAATGATTATTTAAGCTATTGCAATATCTGTTTGCTTAGCCAATATGAAAATGTTTGGGTAATGGTTGTATATACATGGTTGAACTCTGGGTTACTGAGACGTTTGTGCTCACCCCAATTATTTAACATTTTTCCAGGTGACAATCCTTATAGGGAGCAAGGGAAGGTACCAGAGGAGTAAGCTAGTAGCTCTTACACTTCTCAAGTACATGCTGAATTAATTTGATTCTTTACTATTTGCCATGACCCTAGAATATCAAATCAGTATTTTATTAATTCCTTGAATGGATAGATTGTAGCGTTTCATTTCAAGTTTTATCCATGGGATATGTTATGTTAGATTTTGAGACTGCAAGCTTGGATATTTATGCTCGAATTATATTATGGGTTTAATTGCTCATGTTTACTTGTGGTGATTAAAAGGCTGAGTCCTTTAGTGTAAACTTTATTATTGAGACCTTAAGATCAAATTAGTTTTTACATGGTGTTTTAAGTAGCTTAGAAAATTTGGGTGTTACACCAGGTAGGACCAAGAGAGCACAAGATGTTTCGATGTGTTGTGAGGTACGGTTACAATGATAGGATTAAAGAACCAAAGGTGTTTGAAAATCAATTAGTTCAACACTTGGAGGAGTTTATTCGTCATGAAGATCTTATTGTGATCCGTGAAGAGGCTAATCAAGAGGCTCAGGGAAGCACAGCACAAGTTGGTGCTTTGGCCTGGAACTAGAAGGAGAGTGATAGTGAGGTGATGAGAGGGAAAAGCTCTAGTTCCCATAGGATAGCACGGGAGCTAAATCTGGGAATTTCACGTGCCTCATCAGATTCTACCCGTTCCCCTCAAAGCCACAATTGTAACACCCCGAATTTTATGACTTAGGATAAACAGAAAAAAAATTTATTAAAATTATTTATTTTCCAAATAAATTGGGAAAAATTATGGAATATTGATTTTTAGGGCTTAGAGACATTTTGGAAAAGGTATTTCCCAAAAAATGACTTAAATAATTTTAATAGATAATTTTAAGAGAAAAATGGTTTATTTTCTCCGAAAATGATGGAAAAATACTTAGAGATTTATAATTAATCTAAAAATTTTAGGATAATCATTTGAAGTAGTAAAGAAGATAGTTGAGGCATAAAATCCTTAAAATGGGTTAAGGATTAATTTCTGGATTTAAGGGCTATTTTCTTCCAAAATTCCAGAAAAATAGTTAGGAGTTGACTTTTGACCTGAAATTTTTAGGAAAATTATTTTATGGGTCAAAGAAGATAATGGAGAAGGAAAATCCAAACAAAACATCATGGAAAATTTCTGGATTTATTCTATGATTTCAGAAATTTAGTGAAAGGATGAAATCGGAAATAAGAATGGTTAGAGGGGTAAAATGGTCTTTTCGAGACTCCTCAACTCATTTAACTCATCTGAACTTCTCCTTCCCTTCTATTTCGAATCAGCAGCAGACGTAGAGAGAGAGAGAACGAGAGAGAGGCGGAGAAGAAGCAGTGCCGGAGGTAGTGATCGGAGGAGCTACACCTACATGCAAACCGATCACTCAGTCGAAGTAAGCCCCTTGATCACTCTTCTACCATTATTTTCTGCTTTGGGTGGCTGAATATGAAGTGGATGATGAAAGAAGTTAAGTGTTAGCAAAAGAAAGTAGAGGAAAGGTGAAGAGGATCGGTGATTGGTGAACTCTTATTCCACGACAAGGTTGAAGTGGGCAGTGGTAGTTTTTGAGCTTGCATGTTCCTTTCTCTGTCTCTGCATTTCTATTCGGTTTGTATGTGTGTGTCCGAATCTGGCTAGTGAATTTTCAAAGTCAAATGCGTGACTGGTCCTCCGTGCTGTCAAGTTTTGTAGCTAGTGGGAGGGAGTAGGTGTCTGTAGGTATGAATATGTAAGTATACATATATATCGAATGGATGCTCTGTTCTTAAGTTTACCAAACAGAGGTATATAACTTGAAGAAGTTGAAGTCAGATTCATGCATGTGTGGAAGTTGTGATTCGTGAATGACATATGAACATATAGAAGGGCTTAAGAACATATTTTAATGGGTAGAAAGAATAACGTATGAGTAGGTGATGAGGGGTTTCGGTTTATAGGATTAGAAAGAGCAAAACATGTTTTAGATAAATGTGTAATTGAATTTAAAGGTCCAGATTTCATGAAGAAGCTGAGATTAATAGAAAGTATAGCAATGGTATATATGTTTTATGTGTGAGTGGGAGATGTGATTGCTTATCAGTTTTTGCTGCTTAAATGATGATTTTCGTTTTTGCACTATGCTGTCCAGAGGAGTTATTCAAAAACCTGATATGAGAGTGGATATATGTGGGAACCAGTTGGTGTATGTGGCTGGGAAATGAGTACCGAAAAAAATGGATTGAAACTACGGTAGGAATAAAAACTGGAAAAAAATGTTGTAGCTAGAAGTGTGTGGAGGTTATATTGTTAGAGGGATTAATGAGTGTCATAATTTGAATGCTAAACTTGAGTTTAAACATATAGCTACAAATCTGGAAAATTTCCAGGTTTGGAGTAAATGTTATGTATGGTAGAGGAAGTACATATATAGCTATAATTGCTGATCGAATTGGGAGATATGAATCTAGTGACAGATTTTTGAAATCTGAAACTGAAACTATACATATATATATGTATATATGGGTACATGCTTGGCGTTGAATTTGAAGTAAGGGAACTATATATTTCTTTATATGTGTGTGTAAGATTAGGAAATCTAAAACTTTATTAAAATTGTTGAGTGATGCTCTCTCAGATCAAGTGATTGTTCAAGTTATTTGGACCAAGTTAAAGAACGAAAATGATGATTTGGAGGATTAAATATGAATAGGTCTTACAGGCTGTTGTAATTATTAAGAAATTTATTTGAGGTTCCAGGAAATTTTTGAAAGTTTTGAAGATAGAGTTCTAAAGGATAAATTAAGGAATTGCGGTGGAATGAATTGGAAGGTATATCTCAAATCTGGAAATTAATTTGGTGGCTGTTTTGAGGATGAAAGAAATTAAGCTAGGAATTGATTTGAAATTTATTGTTGGGGTTTGTTTGAGGTTTCCAAATGGCGAATGGACATTTTAAATGGACTAATATTCATGATGTTTGGAAATTATTTTAAGGTATGGGTTAAAAATTGACAATTGATTAGAAAGGTTGTTTAAGGAATGTTAGACCAAAGATTAAGAACATTAATAGATGGTTAGAAAGTAAAATTGCTTAGCTTGGATTTAAATGATAAGTATTAATTTAATTATGAATAAAGGCTAAGAGAGCTTATAGAATTATTTTTCGAAAAATGAAGTTAAATGAGGATTAAAATAATACATATAAATATGTGTGTGTGTATCTTTACTTTTTCCACGATACCAACCACTTGATAGAAGTGGAGCGAGCCGGATTTAGAAAGGAGGAGAGGAGGAGGACATGGCGTTGTCCTTAAAATATAATAAATAAAAATAATATTTTTATTTGACCAAAATGACCAATTACTAAGTAAAGTAACTGTATGGGTTTAGATAAGGAACGGAGCCTTCCAAAGAAAATAGTTTGAATAAGAAAAATTGTTCAGGATGACTGACTACTACGTAAGGGTAGAAATTAAAGAAGATTTGAGATTTAAAGAGTTACTTAATTTATGAGATACAATTGGACCAAGCATTGACCTACCCTTACTAATATAATAGGTTTTGATATCTGCAAAAGTCTACTGAAGAAGCTAAGAGAAGGAAGCAAGTAAGGTTTAATTTTGAAGCGGAAGCGTCAGGTAGTAGTTCTTTCCTACCTTACACTTGTGTATGATTGCTGCATGTCTGTTTGTGCCATATTGCTATTCAAAAAGCATAAAAACATGTAATCCTTAATTCCTTGCATGTGTTATTAGCCGTGATCACGTGTAACTGAAAGATATGGGGCCTTATGAGCCATTGTTTGCGCGGCCTTATGTGCCATTACAAGCGTGGCCTTATGAGCCATTGTTTATGTGGCCTTACAAGCCATTGTATGTCCGGCCTTATGTGCCGTTGATTGCGCATTCAGCTAATCAATCTAACTATGTATCATTGCACTTAAATGCTTTTTATGCATAGCTTGCAAGGTTATGTTCCATATGACTTGTTTTGCATGCTTTATGTGATCTGCATATATGTTTGATGGAAATTATTACTACGGGAATTCTTTAGAATCTCACCCTCCCATTCATGATGAACAGTGAAGGCTAGTAACTCGAAGGATAAGGAGGATGTTTAAGAAGAAGGTGTTGCAACAATGTTGTTGATGAGGAGGTCAAGTTTGTGGCAAAAGCAAGGGAGAAAGGGGTGGTGTATTTGTTGGGGGAAGCAGAGGTGGTGGCTAAGCCTAATTCATCCTTCATCAATAAGATCGTTGTTAATTATATTTACAGATTCTTGAGGCACAACTTTAGGCAAGGGGTCACACATATGGCTGTTCCTCGTAAAAGGCTTCTTAAGGTCGGAATGACCTATGAAATATGACAGCTTCGTGCGAGTATATGTATTAACGTATCATGTATTTTCAACATCACTTTTGTACTTTGGTTTTTGTGTGAATCTGCATATTTATCTTTGTTTCTAGCTCACACTTCTACATAAATGAGAGAGGGAGTGATGTTTTAATTTTAAATGTAAACTTAAAATATGAGGCTTCTTGTTTGCCATGTAGATGAACTATAGGGATTTATGTTAGAGATGCGAAATTCTCCCTCTTCAAGTCTCATCTGTGTAATGAAACATTCGTCTATGTTAAATAGATGGACTTTTACCCTCTTAGCTGGATAGTAGTAAGTCAGTCGCTTTTCCATATATATCTTTTATTCACAAGAAATAAATCTTCCTCGATATTAACATTGTTATATTGTAACCAAGAGAATAATCTTTCCCTTCGCTTTTTGCCTTTCTTGATCTGCAAAATCTGTTCATCTTTACCTTCTTTTTTTTTTTTTTTTAATTTCAGAATTAGCAGCAAGCACATAACTAATAATATAGTGAATATTTGACCAACAGAATTCTAGTTCAGACAATGTACAACTCCCTTGTTAAGAAATTACTAGTTAGCATATCAAATAGATACCTTACTGTAGAAAATCCACGTGCCCAACTTGTATAGTCTTGCTTCCCTCCTTTGCAGTGTCGACGTTCCTTTGCCTTGTTTCCTTTTCTATGTAATTAGGGGCAGTGGCGTCTTTTTCGACAATATTTGAAAATTTCAAATTGATTCAACTAAGCTGATTCGATTTTTTTTATTTCTTTTTTTGCCAACGTTATCTTTCATATTTGAATCATTCACTTGCTATGTAAAAATTTTTAGGGTATATATTTTTTGGGATTTTCCCTTTCTTTAATACTCTATCGGATTCAAAATATAAGATAAATTTTGTTAAAGAAACTTGATTTTTTTATAAGATAATATTTACTTTTATCTAAGTATTTAATTAGTTTTTTTTTCAATTATATCACTATATATTTTTTTTTTTTTTATTGTATCTTTTACTTATTTTCTCTATCAATAAGGTATATCTGAGGAAAAAAATATATGACTTGCAAATTTATTATTTCAAACTGGTTTTAACTAGTTTTTTTGATAAATTTAAATAGATAAAATTCAAATAGTTAACTGCGCCGGTCACTTGGCCACAATGTGTTTGGATAGAAGTGCCCCGGACCGATCCAAACGCTCGGCGAACGAGGGCGGCCATAAGGAGAGAGAAATTTGTGCGCGAGATCTGTGCCCTAGCTGCGTAGGAGAAAATGGGAATGGGAAGATGGTTGAAGATAGCTGTGCTTGTGGGGATCCTGGGGATATTTAGAGGATTGATAAAGAATTATGGATGGGACAAAGAGGTAGCTATTCAGATATTGAAAGATCAGTATGATAAACTGGGTATTTGGGCCATCCCACTGTACGTCGCTATCCATACACTCTCTATCGCTCTCTGTTTGCCCTCTTCTGTTTTCTTGGAAGCCGCCGCTTCTCTGCTATTTGGCTTCTTCCCGGCCCTGCTCTGCGTCTTCTCGGCTAAGGTGCTTGGTGCTTCTCTTTCGTTCTGGATCGGCAGGTTTGCCTTCTTCTTCTATATCAATTTCGTTGCTTATCGTCAACGGAACAAGACTCTCATATCTTTATTAGGTTTTGGTTGAATTTTCACTCGCTTTCCTTGTTCAATATAATTCTTTATGACTTATTAGTTACGGACTCAGCTGAGACTATTCTCTGATCAATCTGTTAAGTTGAGTCCAGTCTTCATCAAATTAAGTCGCGGAGAGACTCTGGATTAATTCATATGAGTTGTAATTGTATGCCAGTCATTTCATCCTCCACTACCCTACTCGTTTCCTGATATTGATCATTCATTTTTGTGTATAGGTGAATAACGAAATTCTACCTATATAAGCATATTAACCTATTCATCAGTAGTGAGGTAAAACAAAAAACCTACTCATCGGTAGAAAAAGTACTGATTGAGGGTATGTAAATCTTATTTTAAAACCGTCTTTTTCGATAAATGGTAATGGGCTGTCATTTGCTAGAGACTAGAGCGTAGAGACTCCTAGAATTACAGGTTGTGACCCTCTTTCTTTTTCCTTTTTAACCCAGTATTGAATAATCACTTCTCCATGGTTTTGATCAACCAATGTCTTCGCTACTGAATCTAAAGAACGCATTAATGCACTCTACTTTCAATATCCAGCTGGTTTGAGAACCTGGGAATATCTTGAAAAACTCCTTGATATCTCCTATTATTTAGGATAACAATGGAAAAGGAATTCTTATCAGCTGTTTATCTTGCAAGCTGAATTGCCTGAGAAAAATAATTTTAGTTTTCTTTCTGTCTTTCAATAGATATATGTGCCAGGAACTACAAGAGTTAGAATCAGTGCCCTTGTATTCTGTAGTTTTATTGCGTCTATTTAACTTCTTGCACAAGCTCAGGTTATGGCCTTATGTATATATTCAGAAGAAAGAGTCAGATAGTTCTTATCCCTGAGGGAGGGTAGTCATGAATTTATCCTGATATAAGTAGGTTCATAAAGTATATGGTGATTTTAAACAATATTACATTACCAGAGATTAAGCTCTCATTCTTGGTTCAATGACATGAAAATCACTACGACAGTTTGCTGAAAACTGCCTGTGTTGTGCTACCCTAATGAGATTAAATTTTGTTGGGGGATAGCATTGGTCAATAAGGTTGTTGCATGAAGGCTACCCTACTCTTGTTAACACGTTGAGCAACAGTTTCCCTTGCATTAAATGTTATGTTTGCAATTAACACACATAATTCCTCCTATGTTTGATGTTATTTGTTTCAATCGAATTCAACTCGATTCCTTTTTTCAATTCAGGTTAATTTTGAGAAGTTCAACTTCAGCAGTAGGGTGGGCTCAGAAAAACAAATATTTTCATCTCCTTTCTAGAGGAGTTGAGCAAGATGGTTGGAAATTTGTACTTCTTGCTCGCTTCTCTCCTTTGCCCTCCTATGTTGTTAACTATACACTTGCTGCTACAAAAGTAGGGTTCTTGTTGGATTTTCTGCTTCCCACTGTTATCGGATGCATCCCAATGATCTTGCAGAATACTTCTCTTGGAAGCCTTGCTGGTGCTGCTGTTGCTACGGCCTCTGGCTCTGGGAAATCTCCAATATGGTCTTACCTGTTTCCAGTAGTTGGCATACTATCTAGTGTGCTTATTTCTTTGAGAATCAAGAAGTACTCAAAGTCCCGTTTCAATAGCTAAAAGCTTTCCGTTCAAAAATAACCCTTTTGACTTGGGGTAGAACTTATCTGGAAATGAAGTGCCTTGAAAAGGGTTGGTCTTTTGGCTTGATATTCATATTTAGTCCCTGACATGTTCTATTATGCCGACTCCTTATAGGACTTTTTTTGTCTTATCCTTTTTCTTCTTAGAACTGTTTTTTGTGATAACACTTAAACCAATGATCTACTTATGAAAGTCACACATGTAGAAGAATCCATGTATTGGTGATAAGTGGAATTCATTGTTGTGTGAGTATTTCTTCAGTAGGTCCAACTGCTAGAAAACTCGCCAGCAAAGGAGTTGGCCGTATGAAGTTACTTTGCATCATTTGTCACATTTTACGATCATTATTATATTATACATGAAATATTATTGATATGGTAAAATATAGTGAAAAGATATGTATTTTTTCAACCTATAATTCTTCCATCTTGCATATTCTATTAAAAAAAAAAAAAAACTAGCTGAAGGTAAAATACCATATAACACTTTCCTGCAAATTAAGCTTGTGATTAATTAGCGGCTCATTAATGACAAGAAATCAATTTGCAAGGTGAGATCATACGTTTTTAATCAAATATCAAATTTTAATATCACATTTCAGACTTAGGAGGGGTGTTTGGTAACTCCTAAAAACACTTAAAACAGGTATTTTTATGCAAGTAGAAATCTAACAAAACACTTTTTAAAAAGTTAATCAAAACATCTTAATGATGACAACCTCATACTTTTGTCATTATCCATTATCAAACACAAATGTGGAGCATGGTATAAACTGGGTGTGCAAGCTCAGAAATCACAGCAAATATCATAAACATGTTAATTTAAAGTGCATGAGCATAAATCTCAAAACAAAATTGTGCTCCATCCGGTTTTTTTTTTTTTAATAAGAGATATTTAGAGATAATAACAAAATTTGTTTGTTAATATCTTATTTTACACTTATTTAATTATTTATATAATTGTATTTAATTTTCACATATTCCCTCTTAATCACACACACTCTTCCACGTAAATGAGATTATATTTGACAAAAAAGTTATATTTTTTACATGTTGATCATTTTCAATTAATTTTAACATTCAAATAACGTAATTTGATTAGTTGTATTTTATTTTAAAAAAACAAAAGGAGTACAATATAAATATAAAATATATTCTAAATACATACCAACTGATTAATTAATTTTTTATAACGTATTCCATTTTTCTTTGACAAATAAGATGGGAGTCATTATTTCAATATCATGGGGGATTCACCTAGTTCAACAATGATGGTGATGACGGTCAAGTTCTCTAATCACATTTATTATTTTATTATTATTTATTAAAATAATATTTACAAATTCATCTATAAATTTAGCTTAATAAATCTAAGCAATTTATCTAAATTTTGTCCATAATTAACTTCTCAAATTGGTTCCAAATTAAGATTCTTCCAAGAAAAAAAAATACACGATTATGATTCTTTTTGAATTACTTAATATCCGTTTGGATTAACAATAGAAAAATAATTTATTTTCAATTTAACTTTTAAAAAAGTAAGATTAGGTAATATAATTTTTGTTTGAATTAACTTTTATAAAAACTAATTTGTAAAATAAAAAAATTATTTAGATTATGATTGGATAAGTAAATTTAGTCGTAAGAAAACCAAGAAGAATATACCTCCATTAAATAATATAATAATTTTAAATTATTATAATAGGAAGAAATTATATTTTATGAATACAATATATTTAAATTAGAAATTATAGCAAGGTGAAAATTTTTAAACCAAATAATATTATATAATTAATTGGATGATATATTTTGCACAATTTATATAAATATAAAATAAAAAATAATATTAAAAATAAAAAATATTATAAAAAATCATCTTAAAAATTATTTTTATTTAAGAAAACATTAAAAATAAATAACTATGGATTGATTAGGAAGCATTAAAAAAAATGCAAATAGAAGTGTAAGGACAGCATAAGAGTAAAAATGTCTTTTAATTTCAAAAATATACTTTCCTATAAATTATAAGTTTCACATAATTTTACAATCTTCCCTAAAAAAAGCAGCTTTTAGCTTGTAAGTAAGATTGACCAAAAGCTGACAAACACCTCACAAAATGCCAAACGGGTTTTTGGCTTTCAAAAGCTGCTTTTCATCCACACACGTGCGGATCCAAACAGACCCTTAAATGATGTGGGGTTGTCGAACAGGGAATACTTTTTGTTTCTATATCAGTAAATACTAAATAATGCATACTAATAATAATTGAAAATTAAAATTTTGCATCGATGTTTAGTCAAACTTAAATTCATCGTGAGATCTTGGCTTTCATCGTTTACTCCCTAAACTAAACAGCGTAGGCGCAGGCCAACTAATAATCAATAGGTGAAGCTGCCTCCAAAATAGGTCTCACCCGTAGATGTGGAGCGCGATCCGCTTCCCCGAACCAAGTACTCAATAACTAGCCCAAAGTTGAACTTCGAACAATCAAGTCCATGATCTTATCTGCCTCTTCCATTCAAGTTCCGATTCCGACTAACTTAAGCTGCCGATAATGTAAAAATTGCAGATTTAATTTCAGTTGTAAAGACCACGAGTAAAGACATTCAGGGCCAAAAAAAAAAACATTTATATTTACCTCGTTTTTAGTCCTTGAAATTTGGAAACCAATAGTTTAAAGGACAAAAAAATCTTTAGGTGGGCCAAAATAAATCAAATTTCAGGATCGTAACCAAAATGAAGTCAAATTTTAATGACTAAGGGGATGTTTAGATGGAAACCAAACAAAGATTTCAAAAATGCTTTTACAGTTTACGAAGTAAATATGTGGAGGAGTTTGCGTCGATTTGTGGAAAAGTCCTTCTCAGAAGCACTTTTACAGGTTGTCAAACACCCCCCCAAACTACTTGTTCCGAATTTCAGAAACCAAATTCAAAGAATAAATGGTATTAACCCAAAAAAAAGTACTGGGTATGCAAAGAAATTAAAAATACAGATTAGGGCGCAGAGGGGCTTACGATATTATTCCGTGGGTGGCCCCAATAAAATCCTTGCAGGACGATAGGAAATACGTTGCAAGCGGCAAGGATATAAATCGCTAGAGCATGCATACCCATCCATTTCATGACCGTCGTAACGCGACGATATCCACAAACATCAACCTGCATTTTTTTTTTAAAATTGAAAGTTAGGCACAAAATTGTTAGACACATTGTACAAAATTAACATTATATCGTGTTGAAAAGTAGATAATATAAGAAAACCACTATGAACCGTCAGCTCACAATCATAAATCAAAATTTACCATCAAGTAAATTCCCGTAAAGAGAATGCCAGCAGCACCAGCAGTGACGCACATATAACTGAATGAGTACAGAACCTTATTTATGTGCATCCCTACAAATTAAATAACAGAGAGAACAGATAACTTAGAAGTACATCAATCACCTGCAAAATTATGATATAATCTGATTACAGTTGGTTTTGGAGTAATTTAAGGCATTCTCTATTTAGCATAGGTTCGAGCAGTATTAAGGTTGAACTCAAATACATAAATTATTTTGATCATCATAATTATTGTAGAAGGAGTTTGTATTCGCTAGGATTTCATATTCTTATTGGATACAGACCCACACAGACGAATGAGCATAGAAACAATTTACTCTTCAACATTGTCTCCCCTATTTCTTTGCACCTTCCTTGAATTTCTTCTCTAAACTTTGATCAGTACTCACATAGGTTAAGAGCAGTAAGCTTACCAAATACGTCCAAGGCAAAGCCAAAGACTACCAGACAAGAAGTTGGGATCATCCAATGCAGGATTCTCACTCTGTGGTCCTGCATGAAACAACGTCAAAAGCACTGTAAGGGAAAAAAAGAAAAAAGAAAAAGAAAAACTTGTATCGATGGACCGCAGAAAAAAACAAAAGATACTAAGAAACAGTGCTACCTTAAAATGGACTATAATATGTCCGTATTGCAAGCCAACCAAGCAGGTAACAATAGCCATCACTGAGCTACAAATTCAATGAAATGAGAATTCTGTAAATATTCCATTTCCGAAAAGAAAAAAATTCCAAACAATTGCAATTTTTTTGGAGATAGAATGAAATTACTAACTCAATATCTGGCATGTACAGAATGAAAACTTCATTATCGATTCTACCAATCATAAAAAAGCCACAAATATAGGAAAGCAAAAACAAGTGCTCCAAATTCAAAGTTATGAAGGCCCAGCAGCGGTTATTTAGATGTCTTGTGGTAATGTCTCCTGAGTCCTTACCATCGCAAGATGGGAAGCCCGCATAAAGCATCCTATCACTAGGGGGTAAGGGACTAATTAAGAAGCCGATGGGTGTCACTACAGGATGCTCAATTACTTCTCAATTTTCCACAGTATATCTAGACAATTAAGACAGTCCATAAATCAGATCTTAAACATTTAAAATCAATTGCATCTCAATTGAGAGGCAATTGAGAATGGTCTCAACTCATGCATGGCTTGAGCTTGTTTCAATACGGACAGAGAAATTTACTGACAAATTTTGTCTTTGAATAAAAAAATTACAATACTTTTTAATTAAAAAGTAAAAGGGAAAAAGAACGAGAAAGAGTTTTCTGGAAGCTTGTTTTCAACTAAAACCAAAAAATGTGTTCACAGGTCGAGATGGGGCAAGATTGAACCAAATTACAACGCTTGAGCTTGTTTCAATATGGGCGGAGAAATTTACTCACAAACTGAGTTGTCTCTTTTAAGGACCGAACCCCAATACTTTTTAATTAAAAAGTAAAAGGGAATAAAAGAACCAGAGAGAGTTTTCAGGAGGCCTGTTTTCCGCCAAAACCAAAAAATGTGTTCCCAGGTCGAGACAGGCTAGATTGAACCCCTGCTCAAAGAACAGCTGAGACAAGTGGGCCAAAACCAGCTCAGGCCAAGTTTTGGGCCAGCGGTAAAACTTGAAAAAAAAAATTCAAAAAGTGGAAAGAAGAAAATAAAAAATAATTTTTTATTACAAAAATATAATCAAATTCATTCAAGATATATATATTTTATAAATCAATTTTGAGGTAAATTTTATCTTTTAAAAAAATCAAGAATATTTAATAATCAGACGTTATTTTTACATAACATGAAATAGTGAAATCAATTTAGAATTTTAAAAATAAAAGGAATCAACTATTAAAAATTCTTAATGACAATGATAATCATAAAGATAACTTCAGTTAAAAACTCCAAAATCAATCAACATTAAACAAATTTGAAAAATAAATATAAATATGTTATATATAAACCAGGTTGAGTGGGCAGAGGACACGCTGCCTGCCGCCCAGCAGTCCCAACACACTAAACGAAACCGGCCTAACGTGGGCTGGTATTTCAGGGAGGGCCAAACCTACCAGGCTATGAAGTGGTGGGATTACATGCTATGTCATCCTTTTATAAGTGATGTCATAACAAGAAAACTATGCCAATCTAAAATGAGAGGTGCCCCTCTATATTCGTAAAGAAACATTTTGAATCCCATAAATCAGCAATCATCAGCTGTATTCTTTAATAGTCCACTCTGCATTTGTATATCAAGCATGAAGTAGGAAAGATGAGGGCAAATAACAAACTCACCTCAGGAGTCCTTCAGGATCAAAAGGGGCCTGACACCAAGAGGGAGCATCAGAAGGCAAGGGTCCATAGTCTGGGGAATTGATACTGCACTCCTATTTGAAAAAAATAAAGGTAAAATGGTCACAAGAAGATAAATAAACAAACATAGTCAAGACCATTCAACATAGAAGAAAGTATACCTGCATCCTTGCATAAATTGGTCTCCTGTATAAATGCTGTATGCCCAATATCTTACGATCAATCATTCCAACAGCATTACAAGCTGGTCCAGTATCACCTCTTACTCCACATTTAACCTGGCAAATAGTTTCGTAGGTTACACGGATTCCATTTCCAAACAATACCCTCAGTTAAATTATACCCCAACGAAAAATCATTACCCTCCCAACAACATAGAACAGTAAACAAACATCAACACTTACAGAAGCTATCTTTGGTGGTAAAGAAGGCTCTGTTGGAATCTGATACTCCCAGTCAGAAACATACAAGCCATATAGCAAGGAAAGATAAAGGCTAATAAGAAACAGAGCCACCCCCCTGTTAAAGATCAGCAAAGCACAGTCATTATGCAAAATAAAATAAACTGTTAATCTAAAAGGAAAGCATTGGTTTGGGATGCATGATAGAAGAGGAAGGCACAAAACATGCATCATGAACACTGCGATTGAATTGCGAGCAGAAATCCAGTCACTCCAGCAGATTTCAACAAGTCGTGACCAAGATTAAATTACACTTTCATGCTCATGCAGAAATGTCAAAATTAGAAATGCAGCAGGAAGGGGAAAACATATCCCAACACATATCACAAACACCAAAATTGCCATTTGAACAGCATTGGGTGACCATTATGATTTTTCACTTCATAGATTCCTTCTACGTATTTGTTCCAATCTCAGATTCTGCAAAACTACGGGATCAAGAGAAAGTAATCTATGATGTTCCATGTGCCACGTAACGTAGTTTTTGGAGCAAACAAAAATCAATTTACTGCCTCCAACCATTGGCATTAAAATTGCATTTATATGATTTAATCATCAATTCATAGTCTACTTTGTAAACTCTGAATTCTAAACAAAAATATTAAATTCAAATTTTATGGTATATCGGTCCTTCGAGATTTACTCCATTAACAAATCTCATATATTTCTTTTCCATTATACTCAAAAAGTTTGGGTATACATAATAATAAAAAATGTTTATTCAGTCACCAAATCCGGCATTATTATTATATCTTGAAAGAGCAATTAACCCATGCTTCCAAGTTGAAAATCATGTAGCTTCACCAATCCTCAATTAAGAACATCAAAATTCAGAAGGATTATTTAAGCTTACCACTGGTTTTGATACTTTCTTAGTAAAGATGATCCTGAATTAACAGTGTCATCACCCTTGAGCCAAATTTCACATAGTGCTGCAACCAAATATGCTACTGCAATTCTCTGCCGCCCAATCAAGAAAATAAAAGTAGCCGTTATTTATACAGGAAGAACAAAGACAACCAACAATAAATAAATAAATAAGAAGCTTGACTTTTGGTCACTTGCAGAATCATTAAATAGAGGAGATCATTATTACACAGGATGTACTCACAACAAAAGAAAAAATTTTCACATGAACTTCCACATTTGGTCACTTGCAGAAACATTTAAGAATTTTTCTATGGGAAATAGCTCTTATTGTTCAGACTTCTTGCATATATACATAACTTCCTGCTGCCAGTTGGCACATGATGTCTTTCTGTCTTTGTATCAACTACGTGGAATTAAGAAAAGGTATCGAGAACCAATATGAAAAACATACCTGCAGTATTCCCATCCATCTAATCTGTTTAATATCCACTCCATATGTCAGATCGTTGAGGCCATGGAGAAATCCTCCTGCAGAAAAAGTTGGGAGAGCATTTAACAGAGAAATATGTATACACACATATGCATCTATGTATCAAAATTGCTAGTACTCAGAATCTAGCACGTACATCATAATTGATTTTTTAATTATCAATAACGATATTTGTTTAACACATGTTCCTTTCAAATTGGCACCAACCAATCACGCTTAAAACATGGCCTAGGATTTGCTACATACAAAGCCAAAGTTTCAGTCAACCACCTTGAACAAAAAGGCCAAATGCCAGAAGCTTCAGTGCTCGCAAAATTGCTTTTCTAGTTGAAACAACTCTGGAAGACAGCTTCTGTTCAAACAACCAAGATTTGTCAAAACAAATAAACAGGATTCTAGAAAGACCTATAATGAAACTGGTTCTAGTCAAATGATTCAAATCTAGCCTACAGAAAGTTACATAATGAAATTGGTTTTAGTTAAATGACACAAAATCTAGCATGCAGAAGAAACACAAACTATGGTACTAAATAATGCCATAACAAACATATTTTGACTAACCTCATTAGACAACAGTATAAGATGGATACCTTGTATGTAAGTGCAAGAGAAACACCAACTATAAAAAGGAAAAATGGCATGACAAAATCTGCTACTGTTAAACCATTCCATGGGGAATGATTAATCGCTGGAAGGATCCCACCAACATCATCCACCAGTATCATCAGCTGCATAGAGATTGAGCAATGAATAATCAGAAAATTTAAAAATGAAAAATTTGGGAGAAATAAATCCAGGAATTCTTGATGAAATATTATTAAGTTTCATTAACCAAAAGATTGATTTATTATGTCCAAAATTAACCGCATATAGATTTTATCAACCCTTCAGCTACTTAAAATGACTAAATCATGCTTCTTTCACAAAGTTACAAAACAATGTTTTCCTTGAGAAGTCAGAATAATCTGTAAACTCATGTCCAAAGTCTATAAAACGAGGTTTCATGCAATACCTTCTAAAAATAGATATCACAAGGTTGCATAGGTGCAATCAGTGCTAAATTTATAGGGGGAGATTAGTGAAAGAATAGATAAAACTTCCAATCACGGAAAAATTGATTTCATCCCCAACAATAACATCCTGACCCTATTTAAAACACCATGACCTGTAAAACTGAGGATGTCCTTATTTTTGAAGTTGCCTTCAACGCCTCACTTTGGAAATCGTTGAATTATCAAAAAGAAGTTAAACTCTGCTTAGAGACTAGACTAAGAGCATGTTGGGTAACATTGGGAAAGCAAAAGTCCTTTTGAGGAACTTTCAAAAGCCAAAAGCAGTGTGGATAATTTTCATATTCAGAGAGTCCATTTGCAATGCTTCTGAAAGTCCATTTGCTAAATTCTAGCATGGGTTACTTAACAAAAGTTAGTTTGGCTTTTGAACAACTTTAAGTTACCATCCAACGATAAAAGCTGGTCTGGATTACTTTCCATACATCTGAGTATACCAAACTACGTTTTGAAAAAATGTATACAAAGATAAATTCCGTTACAAAAACTACCTTTTACAGAAGTAATTTTTTGGCAAATGGAGACTTCTGACGAATTGAAAACCAACACACTCTAAAACTCCATAAGAAAATGGAAAGGAAACAGACAAGACAGCTAATTTCTCAAGTAAATCCACTATATGGTTTTTTATTTCACCAAAATTAACATACGGAAATTGGAAATAAGAATAGCAGCTGCACATACGTGAATTATAAACATGATGCTCAAAAAAGGCTTCCATAAAATTATAAGAGGGAAAAAAAAAGTCTAAAAAGGGCATTTGACGAGCGATTGGGCCCATATGAATATAAATTATGCGTCTTTGACGGGCGTGGTAAACTGGGGATTGCCACGCTAGCTAGGTCAAAGGTTCAATCTGCAAACTTAGAATAAATATCATTATAAATAAGAGGTGAACGGTAAGCTATTTAAGAAGACCATCCACGTAAGGGGAAAAAACAACGACCTTAAGAGGGAAAAGTCAATGACAAGTGAGAAAGTTTCTAAGTATAGTCTGCGGAGGTATATTATTTGAGGCAGCTAAAGGCTTGGATCCCGGCTCTAATGCACGAGTAGTACTTCCGAGGCTCTCACATATGATAGTCTATTACTTGTCAATTCGGAAAAGCTGGAAAAACCTATAAGAATAGTTTACACTTTACTAGTCGGAAGGGTCAACTTTCCATATGAGTGAAAGACCGTCAATAAGAAACGATGGATCAAGGCACCAAACGAGTGCATGATATAGCGTCTCTTCAAAGTAAAGTAAGGAGAAATTAATTATTATATCTTTAAAAGGTGAGCTGTATTTATGACGACCGCGTTTCTGAATGTTTGCATCATTAAATTTCTGAAACACGGATAAGCAAGGAAATCGAGCGCAAGGATGACAAGGGCTAAATTTGGAATAACTGGACAGGTATAATATCGGGGCAGCTAAAGATCCGGATGAATCCATTTCTCCATGACAACAAGCTACCTCCATAAATATCGGAGAATATTACTGGACTTTTAAGATTTGCCAGCGAGACGAGAGACGAACACGAAAGAACGACCCCCCCCCCCCCAAAAAAAAAAAAAACAAGAAGAAGAAGTGGCGCCATATTTGGTATGCCGAACCCGGACCTCATTCTTGGGCTATCTTACCATCTATCGAAGAAGAATTTAAAAAAGAGACAAAAGAAAGGGGGGGAAACAAATGACAGAGGCAAAAAGAAGGGGAAAGAACGTTTAGGCCAAATTGGACGAACAAGGAAGACACCTCTTCACCTCTGCGCTGGAGACACGACCGTTAAACCATTATTAATTATTAATAATCATATGAAAACGAGTTCAGAAAGTCTGTCAAGCCATACTAACCAAAACCCCTAATTAGTAACTACTTCAGCAACATAAAACAGAGGGGGGAGACAAAAAGAGAGAGCTAGCTAGCAAGATGCGAGAAAAACATTACCGCAACGGTGAGACCTCGAAAAACGTCAAGTGAAACAAGACGTTGAGGTTGGTTCCTGGAAGACGAGAGTGAGTGATCGTCGATTTTCTTCGCCCATCTTTCCTCATTGGCGTAGGCAGTGGCAGATCTTGATTCAGAAATCGGAAGAGCCATCTCCACATCGTCTTGTCCAGTTGTTTGCAGCATTCTGCAAGGATCCAACCTCCTTTGCTCATCATCACCCTCATCGTAGTTCTTGATTGGCTTGTAAGTTCCCATGACTCTCAAATCCACCATCTAGTTGTTCCCATCAAAAGAATCACCATATATCCCTCTGCTTTCGCTAAATTCGCATATTTATTCGAGTTTCGAGATAGAGAGGGGAGTTCCCTTACTTGAGACGAGAATATGATGATGGAAAAGATGAACTACTCCATCGAGATGCGCTCTTCCTTTTTCTCGCTCCTGATTCTGAAGAAGCCTCAGCCCACTACACCTTCTCTCTGCTTCGGCGAAAGCAAATATTTAAAGGTCGGGGACACACAACAAATTTTAATTTTTCTAGTATTATCTCTTTTTCTTTTTTTAGGATACTTCCACACGTATCTATTCAGCTATAACGTGCAGTTTTATTAGTTAAAAAAAAAAAAGAAAAAAAATCAACAAGATTCTGCGAAGAATATATAAAAATTATTTGAGGAATATCATTTGCAAATTTCAGATATTAAAGTGAAATTAAATTTACTAAATTAATATGTGCTAACTTTTAAATGTGTTCATGTATATCTTATGATATTAAGTCGGTGAATATATATATAATTGTTAATGAATTGGTTTCTTTATTAATACACATGATAATCAATAAATCAATAAATAAGATAAAAACAGAATGATTTGTTAATGTTACTTTATCATTTCTTGAGATGAGATGATTTTCTTCCTTTAAACAGTTAATTTCAAAGTAGCATTATAATTAAACAAACTAATTTAAATGTACTATACAAATGGTCGGCAAAAAATGTATTATATAAATGTTTTGGCCAGATTATATAATTAAACAATTAAAATGTATAAGATTGTTTGTGAAAACACTTATTATATAAAATTAAAATGAGCTGGTAATATTCAATGATATTGATTTTTTTTCAAATAATTAATTTCTTTTTTTGAATTTTATATACATTATTTGGAAAAACAAATCTATATCCATGTGCAATCCGATAGGATCAGGGATTCCTAATAAATAAGGATAGTTAATAAATAATTTTTAAATATCATATAAGTTTCCAAATGAATAGATTTATCTTTAGAACTCATTAAATTAAGGGTGTGTTTGGATGAAACCAAACCGTGGTTTGGAAAAGTGATTCTGGAGAATAGATTCTGGAAAAAATAGATTCTGTGAAGAATAGATTTTGTAAAAAAGTGATTCTGAGAAGTGAGAGTGTTTGGATAGTTGTTATCAGAAGCACTTTTTATATATACAAATTACTAAAAAAAAGACATAAGTTAATATGATAATTACAGAAAAATAGATTTTATGATATATTTTAATTTGAAGAAATAAAATTGTTAATAATATGTTTTTTACCAACATAATTAATAATACATAAGATAATATAATTAATAAATAATTAATGTCTATATATATTTATAAAATATAAGATTAAATATTTTATAAAAAAATATGTTTATAAAAAAAATAACAAGATACATATCATATAGGCCCTCACACTCTTCCTTTTTTCTCCAAAAGCAAAAAAATTTTGCTTTTTCCAAAACCATGGTTTTGGAGTCAAAACCATGGTTTTGACCCAAAACCATGGTTTTGGTTTTTGGAGAGGCTGTTTGGGTAGCATTTTTCCCAAACCATGGTTTGAGTCCCCAAACTTTTTGATTGCCGGAATAAATGGAGATTAACGCAACTTGAAGCAAACATTAAAAAGCACTGACACTTCCGTAAGGTTGAACAGATGCATGGAACTTTTTTTCTTCTTTTTTATTATTTTTTTTTAATTTGATGGATTGTTATGCAGACCTGTTTGGAATGGCTTATATGTAGCTTTTTAATTATAACTTACAAAATACGAAGTAAATATATGATAATAATTTTATCTCGATTTACGTAAAATGTATTTATAAGTAATTTCAATGGTAACAAAGAAGGCCATAATCTAACGAAGTGAAATAAAAGAAGTTCGTTTAAGTATGGTTGTCCATACTGCCAAAATTCTAAAATTGGTATTTTTAAAACTCTATTGAAAGAGAAATTTTTACGTACTCTGGGAGTGCCACCTCATGTAAACTCTGGTCAATGAAAATACAACACCTGGGCTAATTTGAATCCAAGCTGTCAGCTTCTTTTTTGACACTAGCATCACGTTTTTCTAAACCGACGTGCTGGCAGAGAGGCGTGAAGCACCCCCATACCCCTTCACCCTCCCTACCCCGCTTTCTACGGGTTCCCCCCTTCTTCAATTCTTCCCATTTTTTTATATCAAAATTCTTAATTCCTAATTAATTTTAATTATTTAATATTCTTTTTGTGGGATTTTCTCCAAATAATATACATTCTATCTAAAGAAAAAAACTTACATAATAATAAATAAAAAATAGAATTGTTTATTTATATGAAAAATTTTAATAATATGATTTATAAATAGGATAAAAAATATTTTATTTCTATCTTGTAAACAGAATTAAAAAAGTGTTACTGCACTCCTAGGTCAATTTTCTAAATTCATCTGAATTTTACCTATGATGATTAGATGGAGTGGGGATGCTTTAGATCATGTATTTAATTACATTGAATTTTTTTTACGAAAAATTAACATGTAAATAAAAAATGGATAGACTTTTTTCATCTAAATATGATGAAACTCAAATTTAATTTAATAAAAGTTAAATATTTAAATAAAAATATATTTTTTATATAATACAAAATAAATTATAAAATATTTAAATGGTAAGCGATTGAACTTTTGTAACAGTTAAAATTATTATATAATTTTGTTAACCAGAAATGAAGAATCTTGGAATAAAAAAATTGGAAAGAAATGGAAGTGTAGAACTTAAAAGTTAAAACCCAATTTGCACCGAAAATAAAGTAAAAGTTAAAAATGTTAGAGGAGAGGGGGTGAAGGAGTGCGGGAGTGCTTGAATGTCAAGGGCCTGCCCGTAGGTTCTAGGGAGTGTGATGCTAGCTTCAAAATGAAAGGCGACAGCTTGGATGAAAATCAATTTAAGTGTTACATTTTTATTGGTCGGAGTTTATGTGAGGTGACACTCCCAGAGTATGTAAGAATTTCTCGTATTGAAAAGCAGAAGTTAGTCAAGAATTAATATAAAAAAAAGTGTTGATAACAATGATTATTCGCAGTGATAATATAATATTAATGTGAGGGAATCCCCTTACCTAAAGATGCATAGACATCCACCACGGACCGGTAATCTGTGGAGTAAGCTGGTCAAAAAAAAAAAAAAGAATGGGTAGTTGGTATTATTGGTATTTTTTTATCAATTTGATATTCTATGTTATTTTTTTATTAATATGAAAATTATTTAAAATCAATAAATATCGTACGTATAAATAATTTTACTTATTATTAATATATTATTGAGTAATATTTTTTAAATATAGAAACACATGTATTGAGTTTTTTTTTTTTTAAATATTAGCCTGCCGAAGTAAAATCTGATCTTTGCGCGTGAATTGGGTCCACTTGGAGCTCCTGCTCTGCGTCTATACATTAACTCTGGGAAAAGGACAATTGAGGTTGAAAAGGTCGAATGAATGGTAGCCAGGCTTCAACAAAGTCTTTTAAAAAGTAAGCTACGAGTATCTACTACCTGCTAAGGTCAAAAAAAAATCTCCTGCCTCTGCTCCCCGTTTGGTATGATAGAATTAATTTGACGGAAATGGATATGGATATGGAAATAGACATGGAAATGGGATTTAAAAGTATGTTTGGTATGTTGGTGGAATTTGACAAAATTTTTATTTGAAAAGACTAAAATGCCTTTACAATTAGAGGGGAAAAAATCCCCTTTCATCGATCTTCATGCCCGACCTTCCTTCATCCCTCCAGAAAGAGGAACCATAAACAATCTATGACAAATGATGGCCACCGAAAAAAAAACAAACAAAAAAGAAAGCAAGATGTAGAAGTAAAAATGTCTTGCTCAATACGAAAAAATGCCATTGAGTTTCAGCTAAATACAATAAAGAAAAAGATGAAATGATGAAATAGATGAAGTATAAGGGAGAAGAAATCTCATAACAAAGGAGAAAAAAATAACCCTTCAATCTAGATATAGTAAGCCAGCGGCGTCTTCAACTTCTAGATCTAGAGAGAGAAGAAGTCGAAGCTCTGGCAAACAAAGGAGAAGCCATTCCCAACCCTCTTCCTCTCTCAGTTCATCAGCTCTCTTTGATAGCTAACACCTCTAGTAGTCATGATCTGAAGAACATGTAATCGCTAAATCTGTTGGTGGGTGCAAAGCTTGTCGGCAATGGGATGCGAGATGATGGGGTACGAAGCTCAGCAACGATGTGTGTGAAGATGCCTATGTTATATAAAGGGAGGGCAAAAGTAAGTTATGAGACATGGAAATGTAAATCTTGGGGTTGTAAGATGGAAGCCAATTCCATCATTTTGGCTTCCACATGGAAGCAAATTCCATTGTGATTTGGTATACCAAACGTACAACAGACTTGGATTTCATTTCCATTTCAATTTCCTAAAAAATGTTGAGTTTAATTCCAAATCTAAAGATACTATTTCACTTTATTTTTCAGATTTGATTTTTTTAAAAACTGTTTTTATTGATTGTGAAGGTTTTCATTAAAAAAATAATTCCAATACATATGATTTGATATTATAATTTAAAAAAATCAACACACCTTTTTTTTTTTACAATCAACCAATTTAACTAATTTTCTTATTTTTTAAAACTAGTTATTTAGGTTTTATATAAAGGATTGAAAGTAGCATTTAAATAATTTCAAAGATTAATATTATATTTAGTCTCCTAAATTTGACATTATTTAATTTTGATCCATAAAATTTGAAATCAATAATTTTGGTTCTTAAAATTTTACTTCAGTTTGTTTCATTTAAAGATTTTTCCCCCACCGAAGGATTTTTGGTTTTTTGTTGCTGCAATAATGTTTTCGGTCTTTGAAATAAAATTTTAGAGACTAAAGCTACTTATTTCAAATTTTAAATATCAAAACTAAAATGAATTCAAATTTAAAAGACTAAAAATAAAATTAATTATACTTTTAAATAAAAATCTTAATTATAGATAAGAATTATATCTTAAGTTTAAATATTCTATTTACAATTGAGACTAATTGTTTGAATTGATATTTATGACTTATTTTTTCATAAAATGAAATTGTTAAAGGAGAGAATAACAGAAAAATATCTATAGAATTTCAAAAACGATAAATAAGTAATTTTAACATATTTTGACTTGTCAAAACTATCACAAAAGTA